CGCGATCACGTCGTAGGACTCCATGGCCAGCACCCGCCGCACACACCAGCCGGGGAGCCACAGCCCGGGCCGCGGGGCGCATGTGCGAGGGACGCGGCAGCGCGCGGAGCAGCCTGGGAGCTGTCTTCTTGAGGCAGGCGCGGGGTATGCTGGGAAATGTAGTCTTGGGGGATCGCAGGGCATGCTGGGAGCCGTCTTCATGAGGCGGAGGGCGTGAAGCATGCTGGGAAATGTAGTCGGGGCGCGGGTCATGCTGGGAACTGTCTTCGGGTAGGGAGGCGGGGCGTGCTGGGTAATGTAGTCCTTGAGGGAACTGCGGGGCATGCTGGGAGTTCTTCATAGGCGGAGTGCGCGGGGCATGCTGGGAAATGTCGTTCTCTGTGCATGTGGAGCTGTGGGCATGCCGAGAGTTGTAGTCCTGGGGGGGCGGTGCATCTTGGGACTGGTAGTCCCTTGAAGGAGGCTCTTGGCCACAGCAGGCCTCGGGCGGCTTCAGAAGAGAGTGGGTGACAAACGCTCTGCCGGGCTGCGAACTAGGAGCCTCGTGCCCAGGAGCAGCGAGGGGCAGAAGAAAGGTGGCCCGGCCCGATGGGTGCAACGTCGAGCCCCTTAAAAAGCAGAGCAGGTCATTGACAGCCGCGCAACCAAGAGTCAGCAAGGGAGCCGCAAGGGCTGTAAGGAGCCCCGAGGCCAATGGCGTCCCTCGGCGCTGCCGGGGCCAGGCCTTTGGTTTTAAACTTGATGGGTCCTCGGGTGACTGAGGAGCCCGATTCCAGACACGCGCGGTCTTCGGGTTGGTCTCCTCCTTCCGCCACCACCGCACCGTCGTTCTGCCTCAACATCGAGTCGTTGGGCCTCGAAGTGGTGCGCGCCTTGGCACCCTGGAAAGGACCTCGCGAGCCCCCGGGGCGCTGTGGCACCCCGATTGTGAATCACTGGAATGGAGAGATGATAAAATACGCTGTCTCCTTCCCTGCTCCAACAACACGTTGTTTGATGACTGCTGCCGAGGAGCGTTTAGGCTGAATGAAGCACCCTGGGCTTTTTTAGAACCCAACAACACGTGCGCGGAGTATTTTAGCACCCGTTTATTCAGACATTGAGCCTCGCCTTTAGACTGAATCCTGGGCAGATACTCTGAATATTGACCTCAGCTAATTTTATTGATTTTTATATCCTTCTCACTTGTAACAATCCATCGTTAGTGGGCTGAACAGCATGGGAGGTGTCATGTTAGCCCAGATAAATCACCAGAGAGACGTATGTGTGCCTTAAACCAACCCAAGTATTTGCTAAGGGACTCTGTTTCTAATATTTACCTTCTCTGGTTACCGCAGTCGACTTTTCTCAGGTGGGGAAACCGTTATTGGTATCACCGTACTAGGACAGGTGAAACATTGCGTATTGTTTGAGCCAGTACTTCATTCAAGTATAAATTGCTCGCCTCTTAGCAACTCTTATTCATTTGTTTGCCCGCCTTTCAGTCTCTGGCTGCAGGTGAACTCCCCGAAACCTATTTTGTGTACGTTGACGTTTGGGCAAATATTCTTCACCTGCGTACGTGGAAAACCCAGGAACACCTTGCAGCTCAATTTGCTGTTTTAGCTATAATCCCACATCCTGATCTTGGCAAGATTTATGGAGGCATTCACAGCGTGCAAACTTTTACAGGTGCACGAGACTTTGCAGGATTAGGGACGTGGCTACAATTTCTAGTGCAGTCTGGACCTTCCCTGGAAGAAAAAGACAGAGAGAAAGGAGAGACGCAGTGTGGTTGCTGTTGCAATTGAGACGTACACCCTGCTGTACAGAGCAACGACTGGAAATTCCCCAAAACTGGAAAACGTCACATTCCTGCCGTCCTGCCTGCCAAAGTCTTCTAGGCATAGCAGTGCTGACTGACAACGGCTGGTTACGTGGACCCCGATCCTACACAAAACGCACGCGCGCGATTCGCTCTAGGAGCCGGAGTCAAATGGGCCATTTAGGGGGCCAAATCACGGTGGCTGTAAGGGGTCGAGGCTGTCGCGCGCAGCATGAACCTCGTGCATGTGCATGTGCACGTGCACGAGGCTGAGCCCCTCCAGGTTCATGGGTGGATAGGGCCGGGTGCAACTGCCGGCGGCGGCCGCCAGGGGGCGCGAGAGCCTCGGGCGGTGGCAGGCGGCGG